ACGTGTATTTCTGCTCTAATTCTTTAGTCTATATTGAGATGGCCTTGGCAAATAATCTGACAGAAGGGATGCCATCTTCTAAATAGTTGGGCTTGCATTAGAAAACACAGCACACCGGGTCAAAGCCTGTGGTCGGTCCTTTGCTCAGGACGGTTCTCTCCTCTGGATGTACATTAGAAGGATCCTGAGAAACTTAACAGAAACCTATGGGGGAGGGGAAGGAAAAAAAAAAGAGGTTAGAGTGGAAGAGAGCCAAAGCATAAGAGACTCTTAAAAACTGAGAACCAACTGAGGGTTGATGGGGGGTGGGAGGGAGGGGAGGGTGGGTGATGGGTATTGAGGAGATGAGCAATACCCATCTTTTGGGATGAGCACTGGGTGTTGTATGGAAACCAATTTGACAATAAACTTCATATATTGAAAAAAAAATAAAATGTATATCCTCAGGCAAGTACTGAAACCGCCCCCCCCCCAAAAAAAAGAAGTACCTGGAAAGTTTTAAACAAATACCAATGCCTGGGCCCCACTCCAGGACAGTTACCTCAGAATCTCTTGGAGTGGGACTTTGGCAACAGTATTAAAAAAAAAAAAAACCAAATTCCCTAGTTGATTCTAATATGCATTAGGACTGAGAACCACTGGCTTAAGACATGCAAGCTATTCATTAAGAAAAGATTATTTCTTTCTTCGGGGTGGTCTGAGTCTCACTCTTTACTCCATCTGAAGTGTGGAAAAAATATACGCTTTCAATGCACAGGAGTTGGGTTTGAGTACATGCCTTGAATCACTATGAGCAAGAACACTTGATGTCAATATACATAGACTCATAATTGGCTATCGGTAGCAAATTACCTCAGTTGTTTGGAATGTAGTATTAATGGGGCCAGAATAGTGTGTCCTGTCAATTAGAATAATTCTGTTTCATAGGTTGTTTCCAAACTCCAATTAAGTGGCTTCACAGAGACCTGGGACTGATTATAAAAACAAAAAGACAGTGGATGACTCAGCATAGCCCTATCCACTATGGGAAAATTGGTTCTAGGAATCTACCTTATGACTAGTGCTTCTAATTTCATGGGGGTGCAGCATGGGACACCTGCCTATTATGGTTTGTGCCAGTTTGGGGAATGGAATATTTACACTTGGACCCACAAAAATGAGTGGCTTAGTCTTTTAGAGTAAAAAAAAGGGGGGGGGGGAAGAAAGATAGGAAGGTGATTTAAGCTTCAGTGATACTCTCCTACCTACAGTGGCAGATCATGCCTGGCATGTTCGCCCAGGTTAACCAATCTGTATCCCAGAGAGAAGGACAGAGCACTGATAAAGTCTCCACAAGCAAGCCTTCTAGACTTATTTCTTCTTTTAACTCATTGCCTGTGAGTGGGATTCTCATGGTGAGATATATTATTCCATTAGGATCAAGAAGTAGTACAGTCACCAGGGATAGAATTTGTATGGTTTTGTTTATTTGCCCATACATAGAGTTCTGGCACAACGGCTGGAGGTCAGGTCTCCAAAGAGCTCCATATTCCATGCACATTGCACACAAGTTGGATGCCTCATATGCAAAGCTATGCAAAATATTCTACTTGAAAACTGGCTTCTTTAACATGACAGTATCTTGGGATGCTCCTCAGTGCTTTTTTTTGCAAAGCCAGTATCATCACAATTTCCTTCTTTTGCTTCTGTGTGTCTATTAACTTTCTTGAAAAAATGACTTAAGTAAGTTTGGAAACTGAAATGAAATGTGTTCATGCTACTCTTTTATTGCCTGAGTGAGGTCAAATTCTCGATCCTATTTGGGGTTGTGGGTTCTGTAGAAAGCAGGGGATAAAGGATTTCCCACCATGTCTACCATGAGTCATGATAAATTCGGTTGAACTTCCCCTTTGGATTAATGTTCTATTATCCTTATTTTACATAGGAGGAAAGTGAGGCATGCATCAATGAAGTAATTTACCCAAGGTTTCATGGTGAAACTAGACATTGAACTCCTGAGTACTTAATCAGTTTCCTGTTTTAATTGGATAGCATGGTTTTTGGCAGGTGGGGAACTTCTACTTGTTAATAGAATATGTATTGAATAACATAGAAGAGCACATTTACACAGCATATTGTGTGTTTATTATGTTGATATAATAAATAAATTCAAGAAATGCTTGTTGGTTGACTGACTGATGGATAACCTCTTCCAGCAATACTTCTAGCATTGTATTCCCAATGTAGCTTCAAGTTTGCCTCTTCTTCCTGTAGTTATATTTGTAACAATTTCAGCATCCATTTTATTTTATTCTATATCTTTAATTTACATCCAAATTAGTCAGCATATAGTGCAACAATGATTTCAGGAGTAGATTCCTTAATGCCCCTTACCCATTTAGCCCATCCCCCCTCCCACAACCCCTCCAGTAACCCTCTGTTCTCCATATTTAAG